CTTGGGGACAGAGAAACATAACATGAAAGCTGTGTTTGTCAGTAAATACCCCACATCTTCCCACGAGAAGCTGCACTCCAGGGAAAATAGTTACCGAAATCCAAGGATCCGGTCTAGAGCCAAACCACCCTGAACACTCATGATCTCATCGGAAATCCAAGCACCATTATGAGAAAATCTAGAAAATTAATGGTCTCAATCATCCTCCCAGTATGCCTTTTTTTTTCTGAATTTTTTATTAATTTATTTTTGTTACAGAGGTTTCTCCTTGTCCCCCCTAGACCCCCCTCCCGTCCCCCCCCCCCCCCAGCATTGCTGTCTGTGTCCACTGCTTACTCACACATGCATGTAAGTTCTGTGGTCGAGCTCAGCCCAGAGACTTAGAAAGGGGAACAGTTCAGACTGACAAACCTCAGAGGAGGGGGGTGGAGGGGATGAATGAGATACCAGGAAGCTTTAACAAATAAAAAGAAAATAGGGTTTCGCCCCCTCGCCTTATTCAAAAACGACTGGAACACTGGCACCCAGAACAGAGGGCTGCTGAGAGCCCCGATCACCCATTACCTCTGCTCCATTAACCCAAAAACACCTTCCAGCGCCGACCCGCGACGTACCACACGCTGCAGCCAATGAAGCTGAGGCAACAGCAGAGCTAAACTCTCACAATATATCACTAGGGGCCTGGCGGGCACTGAAAATGTAGAAGTAATTTTTTCCATTTACTACCAAACCCCAAACCAAGCACCGAAACGCCCTGGGGTCCTGGGGGACAGAAGAAGAGACGGACAAAGCGACAGGAATGACCTGAGCCCTCCCCAGAGGCTGTGCTCCGACAGACCTTTGCCCCAAAGCTCTCCCTGCTGACTCGGCGACGGAACTGCTCACACCAGCCGGAGGGCTTCGCACCAGCAGGGGACGGGGTCACATGGGGTCCCCGGGCCGCTGGGCGGTGTGCCAGCAGCTTCGGGGAGGGGACGTGGAAGTCCCACAGGGTTGCATTTCAGGAGGAACAGTGACTTCCCCAGGAACCTCCGGTAAGCACAGTGCCCTGGAGCAGGGGCCCTAGTTCCCAGGCTTCTCTCTTCGATCAGTATCTGGGGGAAGCCAGAAAACCGGAAACGGGCAAAGCTGATAAGAGAGGAATGAGGACAGTCACGTTTTACAGGACCCAGCGTCATACATTCTTAGGGTCTCCGTGAATCCGTAAGCACGCTGTGAAGAAGCCAACGCTGGGGAAGTGAAGGTGTCCCAGCCAGCGTCACCCGCCAGGCATTCAAGTGCTCTCTGCCCCAATTCAGACTCTGCATTGGGATGGGATACAGCCGTCATGAAGAAATACACGGACGGATAAGACAAACACCCAAATGCCGTTAAATCCTTGCCGGGGATCGATGTTTGAAGACGACGCAGCAGCTCACGGGAGTCTGCATCCCGACAGGGATGTCCCAAAGCCCCCAGGCCCCAGAAAGGCCCGTTCCGGAGAGGTCAGCTGACTGCCGGGGGGCGCACAGCTGGTCAACGTCAAGCCGGAACGATAGCCCCAGGGACGACAGGAATAGGGTGCTGAAGGCATCCCGGCTCCTGAAACCCTCTTGCGTGTATCAGTGTTAGACTGTTTCAGTATCTGTAACAATCTCCCGTTGCTCCCCGTCCCATCACACATGCACTTAACTCTGTGTGCGCAGGTGAGGGGCGGGCATGAGGTGGAGGCAGGAGCGGGAGAGCTAACGTGTCCTGAGCGCCTTCTCTGGCCCGGGCTCCGAGTGTCGCCCGTGACCCTCACTAGAATCTGACAGCATGGCTGTCCTTCAGAGGAGGGGACAGTGAGCCACAGGGACTGACCGCCCCGGCCAGGCCGCGGCACCCACGCGGGGAGCACACACAGAAACGGTCCGTGCTGCGCGGCAGGCTGGAAGGGGACACGCGGACACCCTGTGCAGCCACACTGGTCATGTCCCAAGAGGGTGGGTGTGTTTTCTGAAGCGCGTACCCATTTAACCGGAAAAATCAAAACACTGGGCATTCGAAGTCCTTCCCGACGGTCTCACTTTCCTTTCTCTTGTTCCCGCCAGAAATTAAACCGGGAATAGCCTCTGCTGAACCCCTGCCTCAACCACCCCCCAGTGCTTCCTGACACGTGTTTTCGCCGACCGCCCGTCACCACTGAAGCATGGGGCTCAACCTGACATCTGAAAAGTCACCAGGTAGGCCACAGGGAAACAAGGCAGGGACGGGGTACCTGATCGGTAACTGTTGTTCCCACGATGTGGCGGTCTGGGGTGCTATCGGTCACCAGACCCACTAACAAACCAACCAGCACTGAGCACAGCCCTTCGCTAAGTACGAAACAGCAGCCAGACAGGACGGCATCACCCAGGGGCACCTGCCTTGCATCACTTCCTTTCAAGCTTGGTTTCATCCAGAGACCATCTGAGAGGCCCGGGAGGATGAATTAGGGCCCTGGAGGAAGATTCTACACCTAAAGCAAGTCTAATCCCAGGCGCCGGGGTTCCCCAGCAGGCCGAGGGCACACCTACGTGGAGCACGGCCGTGCAGGGCAGCCGGGCCGTGCAGAGCACCCTGGAATTTGCAGGCCTCCCGTGTCCCTCCCGTCCGGCAGGGAGAACAGCAGTGACAGGCTGTGGCCACTTCTGCTGTGCAAGGCTGACATTCCCCACGAGCACCCGCGTAGCTGCACCGCCAGCAGCACCCCGATTCCTCACCCTCTTCCTGGCACCCCTAAGGCGACCACATGGCTGCACCGCCAGCAGCACCCCGATTCCTCACCCTCTTCCTAGCACCCCTAAGGCGACCGCGTAGCTGCACCGCCAGCAGCACCCCGATTCCTCACCCTCTTCCTAGCACCCCTAAGGCGACCGCGTAGCTGCACCGCCAGCAGCACCCCGATTCCTCACCCTCTTCCTGGCACCCCTAAGGCGACCACATGGCTGCACCGCCAGCAGCACCCCGATTCCTCACCCTCTTCCTAGCACCCCTAAGGCGACCGCGTAGCTGCACCGCCAGCAGCACCCCGATTCCTCACCCTCTTCCTAGTACCCCTAAGGCGACCGCGTAGCTGCACCGCCAGCAGCACCCCGATTCCTCGCCCTCTTCCTGGCACCCCTAAGGCGACCGCGTAGCTGCACCGCCAGCAGCACCCCGATTCCTCGCCCTCTTCCTGGCACCCCTAAGGCGACCGCATAGCTGCACCGCCAGCAGCACCCCGATTCCTCACCCTCTTCCTGGCACCCCTAAGGCGACCGCGTAGCTGCACTGCCAGCAGCACCCTGATTCCTCACCCTCTTCCTGGCACCCCTAAGCCGACCGCGGTTTGTGGGACAGACTGCAGGGAGGGCCCTGAGTCAGAGCATGAAGGCCTCCCAAGCTCCACGTACCGGGCACGAGGCACGCAGAGCGTCAGCTGTCGAAGGGCCAGGAACGTGACTCTCCAGCGACAAAGCCGTGACGTGACGGAAGCAGCACCAAGGACTGTGCAGTGACAAGTCCCTCCACCTGTACCGCCGGGTTCGCAGCCGGGCGGTCACGCTCTCCGGCCTCCTCCGGCACACAGACACCCACAGGCACCCCCACCCCCGCACACACACCCCACTCCCAACACACCAGCGCAGAGTGATCTTCCCGTGGACCTGGGGTGCCCGGGTCACGGCTAACTGAATTGAAAAGGAGTTGGGGGACGGGAGCAGGGGGAAGAATAACAACGAAACGTTCGCCCGCAGCGATCACCCTGCCTCAAAGCCTGCACCAACACAGGAAATGACACCCCAACACACAAGAAGCGTGTGAGAAACAGCCTTTACCTGGTAAAAACGGCTTCCGGTTTCTCTTCATTAAACCGCCGAGCTGCCCGCCACTAAAGTGTCCGCTGCCCGGCCCACGCCGTGAACCGGCCGTGAAGAACAAGATACCGCCCTGGGAGAAGAGCCACGGGCCTTCCCGGTCATTGTCCCTGAGCGGGAACCGGGTGGACAGTCGCCCCTGAGCACCCCAGCCTTGGGAAAACGGGGGCAATCCTACAGAAGGAAGACATGATGGTGCCAAGTTGGCAGATAAGAATCATGACTCAGACTTAGTTCTAAAATAATTCATCAGACGAAACTCTCCACGTTTGGTTTTGAGCTTCCCAGAGCAACCCACACACGATTCTTCCTGCTCCTTAGGAATCTCTTTGCTCTGTCACTATATCCTTTCACAAACGGACCCCTAGCAGACCTGGACTAGTCACTTAAGCCGCACCGGAGAGGGGGACCGTGTGGATGAAGGAATAACCGCGCCCAGGCCCCCCAGGGGACGCAGAAGTCCTGTCTCCCAAACGCTCGGCCCGCACACCAGCTGAGGAGGCCACTGCCCGAGAACACGGCCCACGGCAGGTCGACCCCGGTGGGCAGTGAGGCCCCTCGCGTGGGACAGTTCTCATTTACGGGACAGAGTGCAGAGAGGGGCGGTTTTTAACTCCGATTTAAGACGCTGTATTTAATAAGCACGACCGATCAGTCAATGATCACTTAGTAAGAGTGCTTGTGTGTACGGTTAAAAGCCCGAAATGCAGTAAAGGTGCCCTGGGCACGCCCACAGGCCCTAGCCCCCAGGAAGCACCGGTCCCCCCTCCACACCGGGCGTGCAGACCCTGGGTCCGTCCTCCTGTGCCCAGTTAGCGCACCACCGCCTGGCATTTCCAGTCGGTCACTGTTTCCGGCACGGCCACCATCTCAGGAGACGACGGAGCTGCCCCTTGTGAGCCTGCGGTCCTCGGCCGGACCACTTATCCGGCTCAAAACATACCCTTCCTCTCTCTTCCTTCCCGGTGCATTCCGGGCCACATGAAAGGGACTGCCGATCCTGTAACTGGGGCACTTCACCCAAGCAGATGCCTTCACCCTGGAGAGACTGCGCGTCGTAAGGAGCTTCTCAGGCGCGGACACGGACGAGCACCTCACGCTGCTCGAGTCACCAGGACGACGACACCTCCTTACGCCGAACAGGCTCGAGGGACCTGCTGGAGGCGCTACCTGAACCTGCAGCAGGAGCCCAGCTGAACCAGGTGGCTACACCTGTAAAGCGTAATGACACCCTGGGCGCCATCATCAAGGCTCGCCCGGGTATAAATCTCGCGCCGGCGTAAAGGTGCGCAAGCCGGGGAAACCAGTTTGCACAGAGCCCTGCAGCAGGGAGCGCAGGGAACGGACCAGAGGGGACGGGAGACTCGCGAAGAACCTACACTTAGCTCCCAGCAGCAACTTAAGAACCTGTTTTCGGGTGATAATCATCAGACCTTCCCTGTTTCTCACATCTTCAAAGAAGGGAACCAACAACACGTGGGCGCCAGAGCCTGTCACGGAGGCGAACAAGGGCCCGATCCGTGCTGTCACCTCTCAAACAAAACCCGCCCAAAAGGCAGCTGGTGACACGGGACGGGTGACGAGTGAAAACGCAGAAATGACCTTCCTGGTGGCCTGACGCCTGAAAGTTCATTTGACAATGGTGTTAGTTCAGCTTTGCAAGAAGAGCAGGTGACGGATGTGATCCCGGCCACAAGACGTGGGTGAGGGCGGCAGGGGTGGTGGGCGTGGGTGTCGGCCCGGGGGCAGGGACAGAGGGGCACTCAGACCTCGGCGCAGGGGAAGAAGGTTCTGACCAGACTGACGAGGAGTCCTCCAGCCGGTCAGCGGTCAGCAGCGCCTCTGTCCGGGACAGGCTTGTCCTCACCCCCCACCGTGCTCAGTGTTGGCTGGTGGCGGCGCACGGGAAGAGTGGCATCGGCCGGAAAACGGCGGGGGTCAGAGCGCTGAGCCCGAGCTGCCCGGCGGTGGAACAGCCGCAGGGGGAGACCCCAGGGCCCTCGGGGCTGTCCCGTGAACCAAACGCTCACAAACCACTTCAGGGACAACATGAGAGCTGGTACGGGGTCTTCAGCAACATGAACTGCAAACTAAATCCCTCCCGAACGTAAAAGATGTAAAGATTTTATATTCCAAGTGCAGTGGGTGAAGTGTTGCAAAATCTTTTTTTAAAATATTTTCCTTTATTGATTTTAGAGAGAGGAAGGGAGAGGCAGAGAGAAACATGGATGAGAGAGGACATCGACTGGCCGCCTCCTGCACGCCCCCCACTGGGGATCAGCCCACAACCTGGGCATGTGCCCTGACCAGGAATCGAACCAGCGACCTCTTGGTGCGGGGTCGATGCTCAACCACTGAACCACACCAGCCAGGCTGTCGTAAAATCTTGTAAATAAAAATAAGTACCAGCCTATAAACATTTTTTTATTAGTTTCAGGTGTACAGCACAGCGGTTAGACATTTATACAACTTGCCCAGAGACCCCCAGTGAGTCCACCACCAGGCCCCACACACAGCTGTCACAGTCTCATTGACTATTCCCGGTACATGACTATTTTGTAACAACCAGTTTGTCCTTAATCCCTCCACTCAGCCCCCGACTCCTCCCATCTGCAACCATCAGCTTGGCCGACCATTTCTGTTAACACGTGTCCTCCTTCATACCAAACGGAAACATTACAAACCACTGTTTCTGTTCCTAAAAACAGTCCCTTAAGAAAGTCACGAGCAAAAAAAAAAATTCAAAATGACCCGCTCGTTTGACGTTTCCTGACTCCTGATGATCATCCACAACCGGCTCCGGCCGGAGAGCTCAGGGGCTTGGGACGTTGTCCCCTGGCGCCACGGTTGCGGGTTCAACCCCCGTCACTGACTCTGTTTATCTTCCTTTCCAAGTGGCTGGCGTAGGGAACCAGAAAGGAAACATTTTACCCAAGGGACTCCTGGGTGGGGGCCGATTTCGGCACGAGGCCACCGATTCAGCTACTGAAAACATTAGCGATACACTGAACTGGGTCCTTCCACGACCACAGACGTTTCCAAAGCCCCCCGAGGGCAGGCAGGGAGCCTGGGAGCCGGTGGGGCGCCTGTGACACACTGACGGCTCCCACTTCCCCTGCAGGTGCGGAGTGGCGCGGCCGCGGGGGTCACGCCGCGAACACCAGCAGCGACGGCGCGGGGACCAACGTCACCACCAGCAGAGAGTTCGGCGCCATCATCCTGCCGGTGCTGTACCTCGTCCTGTTCGTGGCGAGCGTGCTGCTGAACGGCCTGGCCGTCTGGATCTTCTTCCACATCAGGAACAAAACCAGCTTCATCTTCTATCTCAAAAACATCGTGGTGGCCGACCTCATCATGACGCTGACGTTCCCCTTCCGCATCGTCCAGGACTCCGGGTTCGGCCCGTGGTACTTCGAGGCCGTCCTCTGCCGCTACACGTCCGTGCTGTTCTACGCCAACATGTACACGTCCATCGTGTTTCTCGGGCTCATCAGCATCGACCGCTACCTGAAGGTGGTCAAGCCCTTCGGGGACTCGCGCATGTACAGTGTCACCTTCACGAAGGTCCTGTCCGCCTGCGTGTGGGTCGCCATGGCCGTGCTGTCCTTGCCGAACATCATCCTCACGGACGTCCCGCCAACGAAGGAGAACGTCCATGACTGCGTGACGCTCAAGAGCCCCTTGGGGGTCCGGTGGCACCGCGCGGTCGTCTACGTCAACAGCTGCCTGTTCGCGGCCGTGCTGGCGATCCTGATCGGCTGCTACATCGCCATCTCCCGGTACATCCACAGGTCCAGCAGGCAGTTCGTGAGCCAGTCGAGCCGCAGACGGAAGCACACCCAGAGCATCCGCGTGGTGGTGGCCGTGTTCTTCACCTGCTTCCTCCCCTATCACCTGTGCAGGGTGCCCTTCCTCTTCGGCGACCTGGACCGGCACCTGGACGCCTACGCCCGCGAGATCCTCTACTACGGCCGAGAGGTGACGCTCTTCCTGTCCGCTTGCAACGTGTGCCTGGACCCCATCATCTACTTTTTCATGTGCCGGTCCTTTTCCAGAAGGCTGTTCAAGAAGTCGAACATCAAGACCAGGAGTGAGAGCATCCGATCCCTGCAGAGCATCCGCAGGTCGGAAGTGCGCATCTACTACGATTACACGGATGTGTAGGGCTCAGTGTGTCGGAGGCCATGTGTGCGCGGTGTAGATAAATGTCTCTTTTCGTTACCCCGGCTTCGGCCCATCGGAATACGCATACGCGGAGGACCGACGTGGTCCGAAATCCGGGTACAGTCTGAAACTTCGGGAAACATGAAGGCAGCCCAGGAAGTGAGACACAGAAGAGGGAGGGGGCGGCTGGGGGCAGGGTTCGAGGCTCGGTGCCCAAGGGCCGAGGCAGGAGCCGCAGCGGGGCCAGGGCCCAGCCCAGGAAGTGCTGCCCTCTGTGGCCACCTGGGGAACAGCAGGCAGTAGAGAGCAGAGACCTCTACCCAGCCTTGGAGTTTAAGATTAGGGAAAGAAAATGACGTTTTCGATGTGGCACATTTATAGTCAATCCTGATCGCTAGGCCTTCTGTGGTGCCGTCTACGACATGTGGGGCCTTTGAGGAACACACCCCTTTGCCGTGTTCCTCTACGTCGTACGCGTGTTTTAAAAAGCGCGTGTTGTGTGGGGATAGGCAGGACGAGTCTCAACTACGTTTGAAGTAATGTGTTTGGAAGACTGAATCCAATGAACTGATTTTAATTTTTTATTACTTTTTAAAATGTATCTTTATTGTTGGAAGTATTACAGGTGCCTCCCCGACTTCCCCCACTGGCCCCCTCGCCCTGTCCCCGCCCCCCGCCCTGGGATTCACCCCACTGTTGTCTGAGTCCATGGGTGGCAGGAACACGTATCAGTTCTCTGTTAATCTCTTCCCACGCCCCTCACCCCGAGATTCTTAGGTGGTTCCAGGATACTGGATCTACTTTGCCCTGGTTGGCATGGCTCAGCGGTTAGAGTGTGGGCCTGTGCACCGCAGGGTTGCGGGTTCAATCCCCGGCCCCGGTCAGAAAGCTTCTGGGAGGCAGTCGATGGATATGTCTCTCATACTGATATCTCCCTGTCTCTCTCTTTCTCCCCTCTCCTTCTCTCCCCCTCCCTCCCTTCTACTCTCTCTAAAAGAATAAATAAATAAATAAATAAAACAACGGAAACAAATATCCTCAGGTGAGAATTAACAGCAAAATAAAAATAAAAACCTCAATGAAGTGATTTTAAACGTACGCTATTTTAGAGAAAGAAGAGGGAGTCGAAACACTAAATTTTTTCGCTGTTCTACATTTCCATCCTCACGTGCTCAGGGTAGAGAAGAGACGATGGAGCTTGGCTAATAATCAAGTACCTGTAGCTTATCCATACGCCATTTAATAGTCTTTATTTTAGAAAAAGGATTAGTGACATAGTCTTCCCTTTAAGCTTTATCCCACCTTTAATAATGATATCTTTTGTTTAAAAAAATAACCTCAAGTTGAAGGAGAGAATGCAATAAAACAAGTCCAAGAAGTTTAAGTAACCTTTTTTTTTAATCCTCACCCGAGGACATTTTTCCATTCTTTATTCAGATAGAGCAAGAGGAAGAGAGAGGAAGAGAGAGAGAGAAACATCGACGTGAAAGGGACACATCGAGTGGCCGCCACCTGCATGACCCAACCAGGGCCGGGGACAAACTGCAGCCGAGGTACATGCCCTTAGCGGGAACCGAACCCGGGTCTCCGTGGACCACAAGCTGACGCTCTAACAACTGAGCCAAACCGGCCAGGGCTAAATCTGCCAATATTTCCACCCTTTAAGACAGACCCTGAGCCCTGGCCGGTTTGGCTCAGCGGTTAGAGTGTCGGCCTGTGGACCAGAGAGACCCAAGTTCAGTTCCCACCAAGGGCACGTACCTCGGTTGCAGTTTGTCCCCGGCCCTGGTTGGGGTCGTGTGGGTGGCAACCAGTCGATGTGTCTTTCTCACATCGATGTTTCTCTCTCTCTCTTCCTCCCTCCTTCCCTCCAGCTCTCCCTGAAGATCAATGCAAAAATGTCCTCGGGTGAGGATAAAAAATGTTTAAAAAGACAGACCCTGAGTCTTCACTCTTCCCAATGCCTACAGCTGCCCAAAGGCCGCCCAGGTGCCTAGTTGCCTGGTTTGCTGCTGATGCCGGGTAAGGAGCCGGGGGCCATGAAAAGGGTCTGTGGCCAAAGAGCACATCACGGTCAACAGAGACGAAACACACACCTGTACACGAAAGAACAGTGCACGCACCTGTACACGAAAGCACAGTACACGCACCTGTACACGAAAGCACAGTACACGCACCTGTACACGAAAGCACAGTACACGCTCCTGTACACGAAAGCACAGTGCACACACCTGCACACGAAAGCACAGTGCACGCACCTGCACACGAAAGCACAGTGCATGCACCTGTACACGAAAGAACAGTACACGCACCTGTACGTGAAAGAACAGTACACGCACTTGTATATGAAAGAATGGTATTTCACTTAGACTCTTTTAAACTGTCTGCAAAACTCTAAAAAGCTAAAGTGAGCAGCAACGAGGGAACAAGAATAACTTGGCCGGACGACAACCTTTGGCAAGGACAGGAACAGAATTCGAGGACGGTTCTCGTCTAGTAGGTGAGTTCAGTTTGACAAACTCGATAGTGAAGGGTTTAAAAGAAAGATCTGCGGACCTCTACCAAATATCCATCTCTCCATCAAGATTCCAATTCCAGAAACTCAGAGGCAAGCCACTACGGAGGTATGCGCCTCACCTGGTCATTTGCATAGCCCCTCCCCTCCCCAAGTGTGCCCCCAGCTGGGCTAAGGGAGCAGGTGTGACAGCCAATGGGAACAGGTGTGAAAGGCTAACTCCTCTCTCCACCCTCCCGATAACACCAAGGATGCTGGGCAGCGGCCCTGTACAAAGTGAGGGGCAATACCAAGTCCTGTCCCTGCACTCCAACACAGCTCCCAGCCAGAATCTCACACCTGACAGCACCACCCCACCGTGACTGCATGTGTGTGGACATGCACACAGAAATGCATGATCACTGAGAGCCAAACTAAGGCTCCCCCGTCCGGAGTAGCAGCAAATGGCTCCAGTTGGCTCGGGAATTCACCAAACACTTCCCACCCCAGCTCTGAGAGGCCTTTCAAGATTTCCATCCCATGTTAACGCTTCTACAACTGGGACCCCGGAGAGTGGGCACACTGAATTTTATGGTGGCTTATTCTCTTCAACTGCATTATTGTATGAATGGGGCATCTTAAAACAGAAAAACCGGCCCTGGCCGGTTTAGCTCAGTGGTTAGAGTGTCGGTCTGCAGACCAGAGAGTTCTGGGTTCGGTTCCCGCTAAGGGCACGTACCTCGGTTGCAGTTTGTCCCCAGCCCTGGTTGGGGTCATGTGGGTGGCAACCAGTCAATGTGTCTCTCTCTCATCGATGTTTCTCTCTCTCATCCTCCTCCCTGTCTCTCCCACTCTACCTGAAGATAAATGCAAAAATGTCCTCGGGTGAGGATTAAAAAAAGAAAAAAACAGAAAGAGCACACTGTCCCCATTAGAAAAATCATAAATCGTGTTACAAAAAACATCAAAACCATACTGCTTATGAGGCTCATAGTGTGGTCTTAAAATTATTTATTCCAGCCAACCAAGCACGAGTTATTACATGGGTAAAATATCAATATTAATAATGTTAAATACTGTGCTTGTGTCAGAGTTAATACAAAAATACTACAGTGTTGAAGAAAAATTTTTAAGTAATTGATAATTTGGGAATAACCTGAAGTCTAAAATTTCTTACATGGAGGTTTTGGGTTATATTCAATATTGCAGGGTCCTCCCAGGCAGCAATAAATAATATGGTTGTTCTTCCTCTATGCACATGAAAAACATATTCAGACAACTCCAGAAAAAGAACATGTTTCTATTCGTTCTAAAACTTACGTTCAACAAAATTGACTTGTAGAAAATCTTTCAGGGTATGCCTTACTCTCTGCATTCACTGTACTCTTCATACCACTGTATTCTCATTTTCAAACAGCACACCAATACCGCCTTTCTCAATTAAAGCTTTCCGAGAATAGTGACTAGGAAAATCCATAAATTTAGATTAAATAGCCAAGGCAAAACTGTGTGTGTGCCCCAGGGTGTACAGCCTACACATAAAGAAATTTTATGATAACCACAGGGGAATATGACATGCTGGGGGGAAAATAAAGAACTGTAATATATGAGGGAAAAGAACTAAGAAAATAAGGACAACATAAGGCTTTGGGAATCCCTGAATCTTACAAATGTGTTTCCAGACTCAATAAACACCACAGGAAGCTAACAAATCAATACTTACTACACACATATCATGTTTTTTTTTTAAAAAAATGTGCTCAACAGGACACTTAAAAGAATCTTTGAATGTCCCCAAGTGAATGCTAAAAGTAAAGATGTCTTAAGATCAAAGATTTTCACATTTCAACAGAACTGAAGCATCTCATAGATGCAGAATTATTTAGCAAACCCTCCTAGCCCTCTGGCACCATCTACTGGTAAATTCTGAAACAGCAGAAGAAAATTGGTGTTCTGCAAGGTCCGCTTAGGCCTTCCCTAGGCTCCCTTCGGCCTTCTTTAGTGCTAATGTGCACACACACACACACACACACACACACACACAGTCCTGAGCTGCCTAGAAAAACATAAGACGCAAATGTTTGAAAAGAATAATTAAGCCCTGGCCGGTTTGGCTCAGTGGCTGGAGCGTCGGCCTGCGGTCCGGAGAGACCTGGGTTCGGTTCCCGCTAAGGGCATGTACCTCGGTTGCAGTTTGTCCCCGGCCCTGGTTGGGTTGTGCGGGTGGCAGCCACTCGATGTGTCCCTTTCACGTCGATGTTTCTCTCTCTCTCTCTCTCCCTCCCTCCCTCCTACTCTATCTGAACAAAAAAATGGAAAAATGTCCTTGGGTGAGGATAAAAAAAAAAAAAAAAAGAATAATTAAGACCTACAGAAAGTTAGCTTATAGATGTAAAACAACAAAACAACAACAACAAAAAACAAAAACTAAAAAGGCTTAAATACACACGGATTTTCTAGGGGGCAAAATGCTACAAATATTGGCTGTTCTCTCTTAATTCACAGACATGAAAATATAAATTAAATATAATTTATCTATGGGTTGA